TCCGAGAACTAATCATTCTGATTGGTCGAGAGCCTTATAACCGATAACTCTTCCATCTCCTTCTAGTCGTCCCTTTAAACCAAATCGAGAGCGTTCCTTAACGAATCGGTACGTATCTTCTGGAGATCCTCCACGGCCGCTTCCCCAGGGCATCGGGCGACAGCTGGGCACCACGTCCTTAACTCGGGCAGGAGGTTCCTCTCCTGCCCTTAACCGTATCAAAACTACCTCCGCCCGCTCTACAGCCCTTTGCCCATCTCCAGCGGGGCGCCGGTATCTCAGCCGGGCTTCTGCCGGTCCGTGGAGACGTCTCCGTCGGGTCGTCTCCTCTGCCGGGCAACTCGGTACGTCGAGACTATCTCCCCACGGCAGATTCGAGCACCTCGACCTCAACTAAGCAATAACGAAATCTTACGAGAGCCTTGACATAACTGTACGAATCAACCCGAGAGCGTAGCTTCTGAGCAGGTTGGCGACCCGAAGGGAACCAGAAATCGAGAACGTTATCTGTATCGGTAACCGGAGCCGCCTTGGGACCGTGATTCGAAAAATCACCTCACAATATATACTAGTATATATTACACGTATAATCCACTATAGAAATCTGTCGTTCAATTTTCATGAATGCTGCACGAAGCTTATGGTCCTGTTACAACAGACAGCCACGTCATCAATTTGGAAACATTCAATCGGTTTACCTACAGTAAATCAGGATTTACTTGAGCGATAATTTTTAATGGGATACATTGATGCTCAATCGATCTCTGACATTCGTCAACGACAAGCGTCGATGCTGCGATTCGATTTCACCGGAAGGTCAAAATCCCGTCGGAGACCGTTACGCCTTGCGAAATTGTCCCTGTCCATAGAGTGGGCATCCCGACGCTGGGCGTCGACGTCGATGCTCCCCGACGGGGTCGTCGTATTATCAGGGATTACATTAATCTTGTAAAGTTACCTAACCTTCGTCGTAGTTGTTGCGACAGCAGCGCCATCTGCCAGTAACATTACCAATCTCACTTTCTTCGTCGTATCATTATGCACGTATTGCGTCATATTTTACTGGGAAAAGATATAGCCCGTTTTTCGTACCTCGAATACTTCAGAAAAACATTTACACGTACACGTAATATATCGATACTCTTTTTAACTTTTACTCGAAAAACTTAATTTACCTACCGAGAGGAAACCAGGCACGTGTAAAAGTGGCTTCGCTTCTGCGTCGATGCGATCCTTAGCCACGACGGTCATTTTATATCGGATACTCGTTACGCGAGATAAACCGGATGAAGATACACGTTTGGGCTAGTTTTCATTTTTAGATACTCGAACCACCTTGTTTATAGAGTTCCCTATAGCCCGAGAAGATATTTATCATTGGTACCGTCAGACTTTTATTACATAATTATTAATTTTAATAATTTCTAATATCGCCTGTATAACGAACCTGCGTTTTGTCTATACTCATAACTACATAGTCATACGAATTAGTCAAACATGCAATTTTCACTAACGACCACGCTTATATCCCAACGTTCGCCAGTATCGTAATTAATGCAGTTGTTAATCGACGAATCGCCGATTAATGTGAGGTTTATAATTTTCGAAATAGCCAATTGTCCGTAAATTAATTAATGGATCATTATGTAATATTATTAAGCAAAATTATTTTATATTAGGAAAAATTTGGGGTGTCGTATTTTACGCCTTCATGGGTATGCGAACAATGGCCAATACAGTGAATGCGAGGGAGAGAGCAGGGTAAGTATATAGAGAGCACAACTTGAGGTTGGTAGCTTGTACCAAGCACATTAACATAACTCTGGACCAACCGTCCCTCGAACTTTCGAGTAATACCACGTAGGAACTTCCGGCAGGCTGGAGAATTGGGTCGGATGCTCGTGAGATACGGAAGGTTCTAGAAATTTTCTCATTTTCCATCCCATATTCGGAGCATCGTAGAACCACTGTTGAGAAAACTCCAATGGATTACAACAGAGTGTCCGAGCCTCGCGAGACCACGACCCCGATTAACGCACTGGACTTTTGTTAAGTGTCGTTAAAGCAATTTCGCGATATACGAGTCCCCTGTTCCCCTGAGCATAACGAGTGGCGCCGCACTAGCGGATAGAGCGTGAAACTAAAATTGTACATTCACCCCAAAAAGCGATTAGACTTCATACCTTAATCAGCAAGAGCCGAGAGTCTCCAGTGGCGTCGTGATTTTTTATTAGGGTAGAATATTTAGATTTCATTTAAGTACAGGACGGTGGCGATAAGATGGGTAAACGAATGAGGGCCCCCCCCCCGGCCGGGGGATTAAAACTTTTGACAAAAGCTCTTGGGAATAAGGCCAATGACAGTTTAAGCGAAGCAGAGAAAATCAGAGGAATGATATATACACGGAAGGTAAGTGATCCCGTAGTAACCTAACCTAAACTTCCGAAACACAGTCACGATGTAGGATGGCTTTAAGTTAACCAGTGGATCTATAGGTGGTTCCGATGGGATATAAAAAATGCCAAGAATTTATAATCTTCGGCAAGATTCTTCCGTTATCAGTACCGATCCAAGCATACCTGACTTCCTTTGCAGATACACGAGTCAATTATTCTATTTTTCTATTGGAACCTAATGACGAGGTGAGCTGACGTTTCAGGATGGTCGATTTTTTCTTTTTTTTTTTTTTCATAAAAAAATTCTGTTTCACCCGTTACACGTCTGCCAGTGCAATTTAAGCAGCCACGTACGTCAATGGATACGTATCTACGTGTAAGCATCCAGGTACACGTGCGCTCCACGAGCTAACATGAGAATTCGATGGCTATCGCGACAATCCTAGTACCCAAGAAGGAAGCTTTGTATTCGGCCGCAAGCCGTGTACCGCAAATACCGACTCCATTGTTATATATTAAATTGGCCCGCAGCTGTAGCAGGTAAGTACGCGCGTGCCTTGTTGCTCCATCGACGTTACGTCGCGTCTTCGTGCACGGTAGCCGTAGGCGCCTATGAGGCCGCGCCAGCCAGTTTAGCCAACCGCGTTATCCTCCACAGATATATACGAGGCAAGTGGGTCAAGTGCACAAGAGCCAGACACTTTGAGGTCAGCAAGTGAATTTTTTATTAACGTGGACATTAGAAAACGTTAAAGACCGAACCTTAAACGTTCCATAATAATGCGAGCGGGTAGATAAATAAAAAAAATTGTCCGACAGCAGTCACCAATATGGCACGCAAAGAGTTTCAGATATCCATCGTGTAATATTGATCTGCAGAAGAAAAAAAAAAAGTTTTACTCCCACTCGACCTACCTTGATGAACTAATAAGCCCAGTTCAGGAGTAATTAAGGGTGGAAAAGTCAGGGGGTGGATTAGGGAGAGAGTGGTGGAGGGGGAGGTACCTCGACTAGGGTGCTATTACCGCTATCGTTCCGCCCGTTATTAAACGTTGCGAAGGATAAGAACCACCCCCCCTACGACCCCCCCCTATTTCACCCCCTGTTCATCGGCACTCGTCCCTCTAGTTTTCTCATAGTCGTAGGAACGACTTATCTCAAGTCCATCTTACCACGAAAGTCACGGTAACCCTTCGTCTAAGCCCTCCTCCTTCTTCTCCCCCCCCCCACCGCTTTACCCTAT